ATCAGGCTCTATGAGACCAGCAAACTTGGTCCTTTTTTTTTTTTTAATGATTTTGAGTTTTGTTGCACATTGTTCTCCCACTCTGTCCAGGATCTCCTAGATAGATCCCCCTCCAAGTGGTTGACAGTGGTAGTCGGACACCATCTAGTTCTTCTGGTCTCATAATCGTATAGGCTGAGGATCGCATGGTGTACCAGTTGCTTGGGCTAATTCTTTCCATGAATCTTTGGTTTTCTTCATTCTTCTTTGCTCTGGATGAGGAGAGATACATCATTGCATCTAGATGGCCACTTGCAAGCTTTTAAGATCCCAGTCGCTACTTGCCAAAGTAGAATGTGGAACAATGTTTTGTGCAGTATGTTATGCCAATTGAGCTTGATGTCCCCTGTGACTATGGTCCAGAGCCCACAGGTTCAACTACTCAGTCCCTCTGGGCAGCTGGCTGTGACCAAGCAGTGACCACAACCTTGTCCCTTGTCAGCTCTACTATATACCTGGGAATTCTTACAGAACATACCAATACACTTGTAGAAACATTGTCTGCCAACCCTATACATGGTCTTGGGCATTGACATACCTAATAGTTCAGCCTGAAGGCCCATTTTTTGATGAGGGGTTAAAAAATGGTGATCTCCTAAACCTGTTTCTCCTTCTGTATCTATCAGTTGGCATTCTTCCATAAATAAGACCTTTACTTCTTTAATTATTTGCTAAACTATAGTTTGTACAGAAGGTTTGGTCAGTCAGTGGTAAAATTTTTGCCTTCCATGTAGGAGTCCTGGGTTCAATTTCCAGCAATGCCCCTCATGAGCAGCAGCGACTCATCCATGTGTGTTGCTATGATGTTGAGTGAGCAGGTTTTAACAGAGCTTCCAGACTAAGACTGACTAGGAAGAAAGACCTGGTGATGACCTTTGGAAAATCAGCCAATGAAAATCCTATGGATCACAATAGTATAACTCACAAGCCCTTGTGAGGATCAGACATGGGGTTGCCATGGTTTGGGTGACTCAACAGCAGCTAACAACAACATAAGTTGCAGAAGGAAGGAGGAAAAATGTTGCTGGTGTTCTTGGTGCTTTCGTTCAAGTCCTGGGGGGCCAAGATGAACCAGAGCCTGCAGTGTTAGTGTTCCGCTGGTTAGCCTGCAGGACACAAAGCTGTGCAAGAGAGGCATGGTATTCCTGTGATCTGCAATCTAAAATTTCACAAGCTTGGAGCTTTGAAGGATTGAAAAGCCAATGGCTTCCATACCCTAAACTGAAGTTGGCACAGGTTTCCCCTGCCATCCAAAAGGAGAGCAAGCATTCTTATAAAACCTTTCATAAGCCCAAATGGCATAAAGTGAAGAAGCAATTACCATTCATTTACATGGGAAAAAATGTGAGCATTTCTAGAACCCCCCAAAAAACCTACCAAGTCATACCAAATCACACATAAAACCTAAAATATCCAGTTCTGGTAGCATAGTGCCTAAGGCACTTGACTGCTAACCAGAAGGCTGGCAATTCAAACCCATCAGCCACACCTTGGAAGGAAGACTGGGCAATCTACTTCCATAGTGATACTGCCTTGGAAACCCAAGGAGGGGTTGCTATGAGTCAGGTCCGACTCGACGGCACATAACAACAACAACACAGTGTTCACAGACATGGTTCAAAGCTATGACAGCTTGATGCTGAGATGCTGGGTGTATTTCCCAGAGAAGGGGCCTGAGGACACCACTTTTACTGCTCAGAGTGTGTGCTGCCTGTTTAACAGCTCACCGCAAAACAAACACGAAGCTAGTTTTGCTTTTTGCCTTTTTTTGTAAAAGTGAAATCCTCTTTGGATTTCTTTTGTAAAAGTGAAGTGGCACAAAGGGAATTTTGGAAAAGGGGAGGATATCTGTACTTCCAGGGGCTGCAAAGCTGCAGTCTTAGTAGATAAGACTGAAGTCCAGGCTTGCTCAAAGCCCACTGCCATGCCAAAGGGCAGATCTCATCTCCTCTTCCTTTCTGCCTTGTTCACTTGCCTCCCTGCTGCACCTCCAGCACATTCCTGCCCTCATGTGATGGTTATGTTTGTGTGTCAACTTGGCTGGGCCTGGTTGAGTGGCTGGGCAGCTGGATGTAGTATTCCCCGTGATGAGACTTGTAATCATCTCCGTGGTGGAATCTACTGGGAGCAGCTGAGTAGCTGCGTTTTGGTATGTGGTCTGCTTCCCGTATATAAAGAGAAGCTTTGAGCTGGTCTCTAGCCTATGGCACGCTTGTACCCTGCACGTAGCTGTGTCAGTGGTCAGCAGCCTGCTATGTTCTGCCGACCTTGGGACTTACAATGGACTTAAGTTAATGGCCTGCCGTGTGGATTGGTAACATCGGGACTATGCCTTTTTACTTGTCAACCTTGAGGTTTCTCAGCCTCAGCAGCCTATGGCTGTCTGAGTGAAGAAATGCCTCTAGCTCCAGTGGGCTGGGAGCAGGAGGCAGAGCTGGACTCCAAGGTTGAGGGGCTTTCACCCAGCCCCTAGAGACTGGCACTTTGAACTTGGACTTAAAGCCTCCAAATTGTAAGAATAAACTGCTGTTTGTTAAGGCCACCCCATTTGTGCTATATATTTTGTCAGAGCGGCACTAGGGAACCAGAAGAACACCTCACCTCAGGGCCTTTGTGCGTGTAGTTCCTTTTTCCCTCAGACAAAGCTTGTTCTTCCCTTAAGACTCCAGTGGAATGTCACACTTTACTGAGGCCTTCCCTAACCATCTCATTTAAGAGAGCACCACCAACATCCTGGCCTGATTTTATACCTTGGGTTTTGCACCACCTTTATTCTTTGTCCACCATTAGTGACCCTGATGGTATTTGAAATACCAATAACATAGCTTCTAGAATCACAGTAACACTCAAGCCGCCACAGTATGACAAACTGACAGACAGGTGTTGGTCTTCATGTACAATTCACTCCATAACCCTCCATGTGTCGACTCCAGCACCAGGTTTGCTACTGAAACTACCTTCACCAAAGGGGCAAAGTCCTCTAAAACAAACAAACAAACCCAAATGATTCCAACTTATAGCGATCCCTTGTGGGTTTCTGAGGTGGTAAATCTTTACGAAAGTAGATTGCCCAGTCTTCCTTCCATGGAGTGGCTAGTGGGTTTGAACCTTCAGCCTTCTGGTTAGCAGTCAAGTGCCTTAGTCACTACGCCACCAGAGCTCCTTGGCAAAGTCCCCTAGTCTTGCCTTATTTTGACTGCTAGCATTTCAGCAAGTGTTGAACATTCCCTTGTCCTTGAAACATTTTCTTCTCTTGCTTCTTTGCTGCTACTCTTGTTTGTCCAACTCTCTGGTCCCCCCTTTCTTTGTAGGCTTTGTACCTTGGGTCTTGTACTTCCTTTCACTTTAAACCCAATATTCTTGTAGTCTCATTCATATGTATGGCTTCAGCATCTGATGTGCTTAATAACTCCTGCATGTCTCCAGACCCTTCTATCTAACTGCCTCCTACACATCTCCCCTCTGGCTGGGCCCCAAAGCCAGTTGTCATGATGTCAACTTCAACTCATGGCAACCCCATGTGTGTCAGAGTAGAACGGAGGAGGTTTTCAATGGCTGACTGTTTGGAAGCAGACTTCCAGACCTTTCTTCTAAGGCACCTCTGGGTGGACTCAAACCTCTAACATTTCAGTTAGCGGCCAAGTGTGTCAACTGTTTACACCATCCAGGGACTCACAATATCTCAAAATGTGACATCCCAACCACATTTCCCTCCACCTCTCAGGTTGCTTTTCTCACCAATGGGCTTTGTCCTCCCTACAATTGCCTAAAACAGGGCATCTTCCTCAACTTCTCTCCCTTCCATCATGCCTGCAGCTCATCCATCACCTTGGACCATGGAGCCTGCTTTCTCAATAATTGGCCATTCCTATCCTGCCCATGCAACCACACAAATCCTTTCCCCTTATTTGAGACCCAGGTTCCAGGTGCTCCTGACCAACATCATCTCAGACTTGGATTTCTACCAGGGCTTTCTAAACTGCCTCTCACATTGCATTCTCTACCTACAACCCTTTCTTCCCTCTGCAGTTGGAGTTCCTTTTTAGGAGCAAATCTGGTCATGCAGATTCCCTGCATAATAATAATCTACCACCATCTTCTTGTTACTCTGGGGACAAAATTTTAACTCCTTTACCTGGCATTCAAGTCCTTCATGATAGGATCTCTGCCTATCACTCTAGTCTTCTCTATCATCTCTCCCCTCTCACCCCCTATGCTCCAGCTAAAGTGATCCTTTTAGTTCCTCAAACACACATCCCTCAAAGTCACCCCTAACCCTTCAACTGGAAGGCTTCCTAGTTGCTCCTGCACTTGGTTAATGCCTCCCTATGCTTCAGGTCACCTCCACTACCCCAGACCCCATCAATGTTACCACTTGCCCACTCTCAAAAGTCAAGTTTGCCTCTCCTGTGCACCCTCATAGTTTCCAGGACATATCACCACTCTTGCAGTTGTTTGTCTGGTCCATCTTCCTCACTGGGCCTTGAAGGCAGGAATTACATATGTTCATTGACATGTCCCTGATGTACCTACAAGGCTTTCTTACATTTCTTGAAATAATAAAAAAAATGAACTCACTGCCATCAAATCGACTGTGACTCACAACGACCCCTCCTTGGGTTTCCGAGGCTGTATCTCTACAGAAGTAGATTGCCCTTCCAAGGACTGGCTGGTGGGTTTGAACCGCCAGCCTTCTAGTTAGCAGTCAAATGCCTTAGGCACTACGCCAACAGAGCTCCCCAATGCTAAATTTAGAAGGAAAAATGCCAGAGTCATTTTGACAGTTTTATTGGAGCTGAACCATTTCCTCACAATCCAAATGGCTTCTGGTATAGGTTATGTGAAATCTTCTAGACCATAAGGTCCCATCACCAAGCCAGGATGGATTGACATCTGTTCATGGAATTGATTAATTCAGCCTTAAACTGCAGCCATAAGCGGACTCTGTTGTCGGGGACCAATCAGGCTCTCTGGAATGTCTGTTTGCAAACTTGGCCTTCACAAAACATTTCCTAGAGGTAAGGAGGAAAAGAAGGAGAAAGAAGATGAAGTAGTATGTGACAAACATCTTGAGTATTCTCAGGGCATGGGTCCTTCCACACTTCTCTGCTCTGGTTGGACAGAGGTCCTGGCTATGCCAGAGGAGCATGTACCCAATTTGAACATTATGTCTCAAACATCTTTGTATTTTCATATTGCATTTTGTGATGGCAAGTTTCTTACTTTGGTTTTACTGTCAGAAGAATGTGAGATCTGTCAAAAAAGACTCAAAATATCTTCAATGCCTTTGTAACTGAATACTAGCCATACTCAACTTTATAATATTTATATTCACTATATTCACTATTCGGGGAGCTCTGGTAGCATAGTGGCTAAGGCACTTGACTGCTCACCAGATGGCTGGCGGTTCAAACCCATCAGCCACTACTCGGAAGGAAGGTTGGGCAATCCTACTTCCGTAGTGATACTGCCTCGGAAACCCAAGGAGGGGTCGCTATGAGTCAGGGCTGACTCGATGGCACATAACAACAACAACAACAACATATTCACTATTCAGTTAAGTGCTCTCATTTTGTTTTCCTGGAACTTACCTAGCTCTCACATACCGTGAGGCAAAAAGGCACAGGGTTGAGAGCACACAGTCTGGTCAGACCTGAGTTTGAATCTCCATTCTGCAGCACTGGGGAATCGCTACACTTCTATGTTTTCATTTGCAAGTGGAAAAGTAGTGCCCCTTTCACAGGATTGTGATGAAGACTAGATGAGATAATGCATTTATAGGATTTTGCCAAGTAATTGGGCACAAAATAATCACCCAATAAATGTGAGTTATTCAGTGCAAATGGTTAACATATTTGGCTGCTAACTGGAAGGCTGAAGGTTCAAATCTACTCAGAGGTGCCACAGAACAAATGGACTGGCAGTCTACTTCCAAAAAATCAGCCATGTAAACTCTATGGAGTACTGTTTTGGTTACCAAGTGGAGCTCTAACAGAAATACCACAAATGGGATACCTTGAACAAACAGGAGTTTATTCTCTTACAATTTTGGAGGCTTTAAGTCCAAGTTCATAGTGTCAGGCTTTAGGGCCTGGGTGAAAGCCCCTCAACCTTGGGCTTCCGCTCTGGCTCCTGTTCCCTGCCCACTGAAGCTGGAGGTTTTTCTTCACTCAGCTGCTGGCTGCTGAGGCTGAAAAGCCCGAGGTTGACAAGTAAAAACGCACAGTCCCAAAGTCACCAAACAACATGGCAGGCCACTAACTCAAATCCAGAAGTCCCAAGATCAGCAGGGCATGGCAGGCTATTGACCAACGACTTATCTATATGCAGGGTTCAAGCATGCCATAAGCTGGAGACCTTCCTCAAAGCTGCTTCTTATATAGTGGATGCACATCACATCTCTAATTGTTGTTGTTGTTATTTGCCGTCGAGTCGGCCCCGACTCATAGCGACCCCTCCTTGGGTTTCCGAGGCAGTATCACTATGGAAGTAGGATTGCCCAACCTTCCTTCCAAGGAGTGGCTGGTGGGTTTGAACTGCCAGCCTTCTGGTTAGCAGTCAAGTGCCTTAGGCACTATGCTACCAGAGCTCCTTCACATCTCTAAAGCAGCATGGAATTGATTGCCAATCTCACCATAGGGAATAACAACATACAGCTGCCCAGCCACTCAACCAGGCCCAGCCAAGTTGATGCACAAACTTAACTACCGCAAGTATCTTTCTATTCTGACGTACATGGGGTTGTCATGAGTCATAGTTGACTTGTCAAAAACTGGTTTGGTTTTATTATAATATATGTGGCAAGAAGGAATTCTCATTTAAGAAGCTATGATTAAACCCTGAGGTATAATTTATATCTTCTTAATGACATTTTAAAATGACTGATTAGGTTGTATTATAACTTGTACATTCATGCAAGCCTGGTGGGCTAGTAAATAGATACACTGTTGTGGAAGTGAAGAAGGCAACAAAGGGGTAAGAGGCAATGGTGAGTGTGCCTCTGACAACAGTGATCCCATCTGGAAACTCACCCTAAGGGAGTAAATCAATGGCTGCAAAAAGCTCTGTGTACAGGAGGTTAAGCAACAGCCTTAAAGACCCCAAAACAGTATTTCTGGACATTTAAATTAAGGGACCATTTTACTAATGTGACAGCTCATCACCCTGATGGAAAATTATGCAGCCAGTTTTCTTCCCTATTATAGACACAAATATATGGTGAAATCAACAAATGATTTAGAAACCTGGAAAATGTTTTTATGTTCAATGAAAAGCAAGAACATTGTGATAGAAACTGGAAAGGTAACATGCAAAATGGAAAACAGTTGGGTTAAGAGGGTAGGGTTATTTGTCATGGTTTAATGTTTTCTTTATTATATTATCATCTCATCAAAAATAAAAACAAAAGGTGGCAAGTACCAGGTGGAGTTCATCCCCTTCCAGCCAATGAGTCCAGCCTCTGTTCTTCTTCTCTCCCTTCTGGACACAGGTGAGTCTGTCATTGTCCCAGGTAACCAAGCTCTGCATTAGGGAGGGGGAAAAATGTTTGTTTACTCTTGTAAGATTCTTAGGTATTACTAAGCAGGATGCCAAGTTAACCTTCTAAAATTAAGAGCCTAGGCTATTATGGTGCCCTACTACCACTACAATCAATATTCATGAAGCAGTAGTAAAGAAATCAGACATCGTATTGTGGTGGGCAAATTTGCTGCAAAAGACCTCTTTAATGTGCAGTGTAAAAGAGCAAAGATGTCGCTTTGGAGACTAAGGTGCACCTGACTCAAGCCGTGGTCTCTGTAGTAACTTCATATGCATGTGAAAGCTGGACAATGAGTAAGGAAGATCTAAGAAGAGTTGATGCCTTTGAATTGTGGTGTTGGTGAAGAATAGTGAATATAGTGAATAGTGAATATAAATATATATATATGTAGTGAAAAAAATATATATATATAGTGAATGTATATAACAGTGAATACAGTGAATAGTGAGCGGCAGCAGAATGAACAAGTCTGTCCCTGACGAAGTGCCGCTGGAACGCTCCTTAGAAGTGAGAACGGCCAGACTTCATCTCATCTGCTGTGGTTGTGTTGTTAGAAGGGACCATTCCCTGGAGAAAGATATCATGCTTGGTAAAATACAGGGTAAGTGAAAAAGGGGAAGACCCTTAATGAGATGGATTGACACAGTTGTTGCAATGATGGGTTCAAACATAGCAAGGATTGTGGAGATGGCACAGAACCCGGCAGTATTTCGTTTTGCTGTACATAGGATTGCTATGAGTCAGAACTGACTCAATGGCACCTAACAACACCAACAACAACAGCTACCATGGCAAACCATTCTAATCAGGGCCACAACAGATGAACCCTGATAGAATGGGAGGAAAAGGCAGAATAGTACCTCAAAGTCCTCAAAACACAAAACAAAAACCAGACCTATTGGACTGGGTGAGACTAGAGGACTCCCCAAGATTACTGCCCTGAGATACTCTTTCAACCTTGAACTGAAACTAACCTGAGATCACCTTGTAGCTAAATAACAAATTGGCTCACAAAAGAATACATGTCACCTGTAAGTACTGTGATCCTTAAAAAAAAAAAAAAAAAAAATCACCTATATGAGACCAAATGGTCAACAACAATTATTTTAAAACAAAGATGAGAATGTATGGGGGCAGGGACACTAGAATAATGGAAACAGAGCAATCAGAACAGCAATGATGAGAATACACATGCACTGTGAAGGAAGTCACCAAAGTCACCTAACAACTTGTGAGGAAATTGCTGAATGGGAACCTAAACCACTGTGTAAACCTTCACCCAAGACACAATCAAATAATATATTTTAAAAAAGAACCTAGGATATTCCTGTAATTTTTACCTTGCATTTTCTATTATCCAGTCCTTTGTTATCTTCATCAAACTCTTCTCCAACTTTAAACTTAACAAGGTAGTTCCTTAGGCTGCTGTATGTGTGGATGGTATAAGAGTCCCCAGTTTGGACGATCACTTTCTGTGGCTTCAGCAACTTGGCTATCTTACGAGTGGCAAAATCAATACCTTAAAAATAATTTTAAAAACACACAAAAATACTGTAATGAATCCAATGATATGACATCATAGAAAAGGCAAAATTATAGAGACGGTAAAAAAAGGAAAGTGGTTGCCAGGGAATCAGAGGAAGGGGGAGGGATGAATAGGTGCACAGGGCATTTTAAGGGCAGTGCAACTATTCTGTAGGATACTGGAATGGTGGACACATGGCATTATACAAAACCCATATGACTGTATAACACAGACAATGACCTAGAATTTAAACTATAGACTTCAGTTAATAATAATGTACCAATAGTGATCATCGATTGTAACAAATATGCCACAGGAATTCAAAATGGTAATAATAGGAGAAACAGTGTGTCAGGAGGAGTGGGGATATAGGGACTCTGTACTTTCTGCATAATTTTTCTGTAAACCTGAAACTGCTTTAAAAAATAAAATCTTTTAATTTTTTTTTAAATTGCAGCATTCACTTGAGATGCAAAAGCTAAGAATTTAATTTAATTTAATCACTACTGTTTCTTTTACATCAGTGTGATTTACCACTGAAATCAGATCCATAGGGCAAGCCATCCAGGCCAACCTTCATCCAGAGGCTGGTTGAAGAGTTTGAATGGCTTTCAGGAAAGGGTCACTAGGCTGGCTGTGCCTTAACTCCAAACCAAACCCAATGTCATTGATTCCAATTTATAGCAACCTTATACAGAACTGCTTCATAGGGGTTTCAAGGCTGTAAATCTTTACAGAAGCAGACAGCCACATCTTTCTCCGATGGAGCAGCTGGTGGGTTCAAACTGTCAACCTTTTGGTTGACAGTCAAGTGCTTCAACCACTGTGCCACCAAGATGCCTTGGCTGTGCCTTAGTGAATGGTTAAAACTGGACATGGACTGGGCAGTTCTGGGAATCCCGCCAGAGGCTGACAAGGGGATGAGGGACCAGGGAGGCAGGGTTCAGGACCCCAACCCAGCTCAGTCAGAGCTGCTCTGCCTGTATCTGCATTCTGTATTTACACTTCCAAGTAAGACAGTATTTAGACAGTTACTCAACCAAGACAAAGTAACCAGGAGGGAGGGAAAAGAGACTCATTGCTGAGGGGGCACTGAGCTTCTGTTTATGATGGAAAAATTTGGAAAAGATAGTGGTGATGGTTGAACAACAAGATGAATGTAATAAATGCTACTAAATTGTACATGTAAAAAATGTTGATATGGCAGATGTTTTGAACACGTGAACACACACATACACACACGTTGTTGTTGTTGTTATGTGCCATTGAGTCAGACTCGACTCATAGCGACCCTTCCCTGGGTTTCCAAGGTGGTATCACTACGGAAGTAGATTGCCCAACCTTCCTTCCGAGGAGTGGCTGGTAGGTTTGAACCACCAGCCTTCTGGTTATCAGTCAAGTGCCTTTGGCACTACGCTACTGGAGCTCCTACACACACATATATATCCCCAATTAAAAAACAAAACAAAACAAAAAAAAACACCTAGAGCCACTGCAGTTGATTTTTAAAGGATCCAAACTTGCAACAATGGCCCTCGATTACTCTTCAAACCTTGAATTAAAACAATCCCCTGAAATCACCTTTACATTAAATAACAATTTAGATCAAAAAGTAGACTGTAACCTTTGATCACTCTGCCCTTTTTTTAATAAAATGATCTACATAAGACTAAAGGACAGTAGCTATTTTAAAGCATAGGTGAGAAGGTTGGAGGCACGGAGTTTAAGTTAATGGGTATGAAACAACTAGAGCAGAAGTAATGAGAATGTTGACACAATGTCACTGCTTAATATGTCTAGAAATTGTTAAATGGGAGTGCGTTTTGCTGTGTATGTTTTCACCAAAAAATAATTTAAAAAAATATTAATGAAAAATAATAATAAAACCACTGCAATCATGCACATACTGTTGTTGTTGTTGTTAGATGCTGTCGGGTCATCTCTGACTCATAACAACACTATGCACAGCAAAACGAAACACTGCCCATTCCTGTGCCAGCCCCACGATCTCTGCCATACCTGAGCCCATCATTGCAGCCACTGTGTCAATCCATCTCATCAAGGGCCTTCCCCTTCTTCATTGACCCTCCACTTTACCAAGCATGGTATCTTCCTTCAGGGAATAGTTCCTTCTGGCAACATGATGAAGTGAGACGAAGTCTGGCCATTCTTGCTTCCAAAGAGCATTCCGGCTGCACTTCTTCCAGGACAGATTTGTTAGTCCTTTCAGCAGTCCATGGTACTCAGCATTCTTCTCCAACACCACAACTCAAAAGCTCTTCTTCAGTCTTCCATGTTCAGCTCTCACATGCATAAGAGGTGATTGAAAATACCAAGGCTTGGGTTGGGCGCACCCTAGTCTTCAAGGAGACATCTTTGCTCTTCCTCACTTGAAAGAGGTCTTTTGCAGCAGATTTGCCCAATGCAACACATTGTCTGATGTCTTGACTGCTGCTTCCATTGGTGTTGATTGCAGAACCAAGTAATATGAAGTCCTTGACAACTTCAATCTTTTCTCCATTTCTTGTGAAGCTGTTTATTGGACCAGTTGTGAGGATTTTTTTTTCTTTATATTGAGGTGTAATCCATTACTCACTGATCTGCACTGAACACATTCCCTTGTTACCCTACCGAGAGGGACCAGGTCTTCGGGAGCAAGGTAAGCACAGGCGTAGCACAGAGT